CCATTGATACTGGTGATGTTGAGAAACTCCTCGAGTGACAGATCGCTCTCCACGGCCGGTGGATGTGCCATTATCGGGATATCGGTGTAATTGCTACCGCTGGTGTTGTTAAGCCTGCCTATCACGACGTCGGCCTCCAGCATCATGACATCCTCTTTAAAAAGGAAAGTCGGTTGTCTGCGGGTACATGTGTTTGTGTGTACGTGTGTATGTGTATGTGTGGGGGGGGGAGGTGCGAGGCAGCCGTGGTTGAGACGACCGACTGGGCGGGAGGGTTCCGGGTGTGTGCATACACGTGTGGCGAATATCGATCACGCCTAAAGAGGCTGGAAGACTGCCGGATCCATACATCCGCCAGTGTTAACGCTCGAATGACCGAAAATTCTGGTTTTTCCAAGACTGAAGCTCTGATGAATTCGTGACGTTTGGGTAACCGCGACATGAAGGGATATGCCTAGTTTCACACGTTTTATAAAACCGTGATGTCGTTTGGATGTCAAAGTGATCACCGCTTCCAGAAAGATTTGTAGAAGATTATGAAGAGGGATGAACGCATTCTTTTGACGTAATAAAGAGGTCGTGGAGGATTTATCAGAAACGTGTGACGAATGTACGATCAACGTGATGGATTTAACGTTTTTCGCCATTGAGTAACACGCTGTATCGCGAGATTGTACAATGAAGGTCGAACTTTCGTCAGCTTGCATCTTGGCGTCTCATTGAGATTCAACGGGGAGCGGATGTGCTTTTTGAAAACTCTGCGTCAGACGTGACTGCGTACAAATGACTTATTTATGAGGATTCAATCGCACGGGAAGATAGAAAACTTAAATGCGAGAGTTCGGATACTTCTTTCCAAGAGAGAAAATTCGCACCGAATCCGAAGTTGGCATCTGTCGTTGGCCATTCGAGATGGGAAACGTACGTGCCGTCAAAGGGAGAGGCTGTTTCGAAAAACACGAAACTAATCTCGATGAGATTTGTATTTTATACGGACTCGCGCCTCGTGAAAGCGCGAGGGAAATCTCGGGGGATGCAGACGACGCGCAAAACTGTTTTCCTCGCTGTCGATATTTCTGGAAGCGCACTTTTCAAGGACATCTCGTCATTATTTAAAGCGCGCCGGTGTAAAAATATGTGTCCATCGTGTGCGGGTTGTGCACACAAAGGCGCGCACAATCGGACGGTATGGGATATCCATGACAAACGCAAAAAGCATCGGAGGCATTGAAGGCTAGAGCCGTGCGTATGTAGCGAAATGCCACGTAGTTCATTAACTAATAATACGTTGACGGTCAATGGAAGTCGCGAACTCGCGGTAAATTAGCATCCCCTCGAAATATGACATTTCTTTCCGATATCTCCATTTCTCAATATTAAATATTCATCAAAATTGTTGCATCATTGTTTGCAAATAGTTGTGATATAGCCCGTCAGACATCTAAATTATTATTTTATACATTACTGTAATTTCAGTGGCTATTTTTCTATAAGATTTGTAAATTATTGTTTGTGGTGATCATAATCTTATCGAGAGAGAATTATTATCTTGGATTAAATGCTGATATTAACTTTTGAACGATTGTCTCTAAACAGATTTTGTTAAAATATTGCCTATGAAATTATTTCTTGAATGTCGACCGTTTTGTATTCGGTGTGCATTTAACATGAAATTGCAACGTTGCTTCATCCGATATCTCTTAAGTTAGAAATTTCGTCGACAGAGCGGAAAATTGAATAAAAAGGCAACCACAGTTAAAATAACGTATATCACCCGCGAGTCTGCTCCAGGATTAATAATATATTTTTACTTTCAATATGCAACGAATCGTTCCTTAACAACGTAATATCTCCATTAGAATTCCATTTCAAATAAAAGAATTCTTTTAGCTCAAAAGCTCATAAGCTACTTCGATTTAAGAACGATTTACGGAGTGTGGCCACTAAAGTCACGTCAAAAGTCGTCGAAGCGACATTCCCGGAAATGCCGGCGCATATTTGAGAGAGTGACCGGAACAGGCATCATTTGTCTCTCCATCTCTCGAGTGCAATAAACGAGGAACGAGGGGGAAGGACGGACTGCGCCTCGTCGATTTTAGCGCCGATCGACTTACCTGACGCGAGCGCCTTCTCCAATTCCGCCTGGCTGTTGACAGCGTGCGCCCAGATGATCTTCGTGAGATTTCCTTTGATATCGGGGAAGAACTCGCTCGGGTTACATATGCGTGAGCAGTTGTTGCACATGGCAGCCTCTGAAACACACAGGAAGCCCCTTGACTTCATTATCAGTCCGTGTTTCGCATTCGCGCGACACACAGACTTGACCTTCCCCATCGGTATTCTCGAGACCGCCCGACCCATGACCCCAATATTCTGACTCGATATGGCTCGCTCCATAATTGAGCGAGGACTCGAGAATTCCTCGACGCGGCGCGGTGACCGTAGACGACCGAGAATCTCCTCCTCGTCGTGCCGTTTCGATCGATAATCACGTTCATTTGTCACGTTCGTTACGAGTGGCTCCCAAACGCTGGCTCAGCGACCAGCGGCATTTCGCAGGTGGGAACGAACGACCATGCGAATCCAGGAGTCATCTCGCCGAGAACTACGTTGCTCTTCGATATCCTTTTTTTCCTTTTGTTTTTGTTTCCCTGCCACTGATTTGCTCAGTGGCATAGAAGCGAGTTATGTACATACAGAGTCGCGACCGTACGTAGTTGGGATGAATTAATAATAGGGTTGCGTCGATTGAGTCGTCACGGGTTCGTGGAAAATTCCACGGCTCTCTTTCCCCAGTGAGCTGAAACATTTCCGGTACATCTCAGGCCATGTGGCGAGCAAAGCTTTTCGTTCGTCGAGTGACCCCACCGAATAGGATTGCGAGGGTGATTGGTCTTTCCACCGAGACCTTGTTGACTGGATCTTTTTTATGGTCGATCGACAACGAATTTGCGTCGTAGTCGGATAAAATTCGCCAGAAAGGCGATTGTTGTCATTTTTTAATTTTACGATTTACAGTGTCGCAGGAAAATAAAGGAACTTTCGCAGCAACACGGCAAATAAAACATTTTGCTTCCTAAGCATTTTGATTAAAAGTTTCTTTCTGCTTTCTTTTTTTTTTCAAAAGAAAAAAAATTACAGCGATTCAGGCATGCTGGTTCGAGCTGCACACTCGACAAGGCGGGTGTGTCATTTTTAAGTCCAATACCGATATTGACTGTAATAAGAACGTTTCACTTCGACTAATCAGCTTACAATCAGAAGACATTGTTTGTTCCTTATCTACTACCAGCTACCAACTGGAGCACGAAAACTTCATAAGAAACCTTTTTTTCTACATAACCCGCAGGCTGACGTGATTAAATTACTTGTTAAGTTGCTCAGAATTTATCGTTTATTTTCTGCAAACTTTTCTGAAAAAAAACCTCGCGAAAAATCGATAATCAGCCACGTAACTGTGCCAATGATTCCGACTGATTCGTTTCCAATTCATCGATCACGGAGTGAACCCGGACTCACGCCGATCAGTGAAGAGATGCTGAACCGGCTTTTTCTGAAACATTAATAATAGCCTTTTGCCCGTACATTTCCGTTGCACTTTATGATTAATATCCGAACATTAAAACTCATATACTACCATATACTTGATTTTCTATAGAAATATTAAATCCTTTTTATGAAATTCTCGCTGCGATGAGCAAGAAGAATTAAAAGCTGTATGCAGATAAAGATGTCGTTATTGGAAAATTTGTGCATGGGAAAAAGTATATCATAACAATAATTTATTTATCGCTTGAACCGTTACCAGCGAATTGCACTTCCCAGAAATGATATCAAAATTAAACAAACAACTGAGCAATGATACCAAAATGATAATAAAATTAGCTACTCACGAATTAATGTAATGACATTTCTATGTTAGTTGTTTGTGTGTTTATGTGAAGAGGACTAAATACTAAACATATGGATTTCATTTAACTTTAAATATATTTTTGTACATCCCTCCCTCCCTCCACTAATTTATAGGAATGTGGCAAGATGAAATACTCAAGTGTTTACGAAAAATTTGCATGGAAAATTTCTCATATGCTTTCTGTATCTAGTACACGAATTTGAATTCTTAATTCTTCACTCTGTGTACTGTTTAATATTGGCAGCCAATTTGATCAATATTTATTATAAAAATTCAAATGAAAATCGGAAATAATTGCTCTTATTTGTATTCCGAATCGATTCGCTGCCTCTATAGTTTCTTCCAAAATTGCGTACTCTCTGTTGCTTACATATTTTATTATTTTCCTCTGCTTGATTTCATATTTCTATTTCTTTTTATTCTGGTATTGCAGAGATAAAATTGTTTGACAAAAATGAGGAAGCTGCAGCTATCGCCCCTTGCTGCAGAGTCTATTGTTACCTGAAAACCGGTATATAGAAACTCTGCTGATCAGGATCCGATATTTGAAATCGATTTCCGTAAATATTTCGTAAAATCATACCTGCTCAAGATACATTCTTGCTTCTTTAAAAATGTTCGACAGTTTTTGTTTCGATACACTTCTATTTATCAATCAATATTTTTCTTCGTTTTGTATTTTCATTTAATTCGCAGATTTATTTTTTAACAGTACAGTCTTGCTCTTATAATGTTTTTAAAGATTTTTTCAGATACGCTTTTGCTAGAACTTAATGTTTTTTTTGTACGCTAATGGGATATAATCGGCCTTTACTTCAAAATCAAATTGCTTTACCGTGTAATCCGGATTTACCGCGTAATCCTTTCATTGCCATTCATTCTTACACTATCAGAAAAAAATTATTTTTACGTTAATTAAGTAAAAAGAAAAGTAAAATTATCAACAAAAAATTCAAAATATATCTCTTTATATTTTTTTTCATTGTCACTTTCTTTAAAAATAAGATCTTCGTTTGTTATTAACTTTTTCTCAGCATGCACACAATTTCTTTAAAAATTTCGTCGCCCATCGCGATGAAAACGGACAGATATTTGTTCAGGTGATGTATTCATTATTAAATTTTCGGATTTTCGGATTTTCGAGCAAATTCTCACAATATATGAAAGAGCATTGATAAGATCGCCCTTCATCCATTGCTCTATTTTCAATAATTTTTTTTTGTAAGATTTTTCTTTATATTATTTCTTGGCTCTTGCATTTTTCCAAAATAATTTTTACAGTGCTCACTGTGACACGTTATAAACGGTAATTGCTTGATTGATGTGTAGTAAATCAAATGGCCAAAATTGAAGCAAGACTTACCCGTGTCCCTATCTTAATCCCTATTTTTTCCAGCTAGTAAATAATGTAGATAGCGAGTACAGCTACGATATAATGGAGTCTCCAGTACAATAATAAAACTTTTATAATAAGAAAGCACTAACTGGTTATACAGTATAACGTAAAATTTCTTGCAGAAAAATTATTTTGGAATTTTTAATTAAAGTAAGAACCGATATTATTCGTATGATTGCAGATGTTAAAATATAATATACGAATATAAAGTAAATTTAATAATTATGAAATAATAATTTTTCCATTGTATAGATAGCCTTATCTCATTCGCTGAAGTATACACTCTGTAAACATTTATATGAAAAAAGGAAAATTGAGAAAAGTAGGTTTCGAACGCAAAATGCAGCGTTCCAGTCTGCTGCCTTATTCGCTGTGTTATGTTTGCTATCTGCTAACCTCATTCGCGTACTCAGTACAAAAGAAATTTTCGATGCAAATTTCTCACGAATAATTGAATATTACGTTATGCCACTTGATTATGAATTAAAACGGGATATTAAAATTTCACATTTTATTACTATTTCATTACTAATTTTTTTACATTTTTAAAATTAGGCGAAATCTATGTGTCCTCCCCTCGTAAATCTTTTTTTATGAAATTTTCGCTGCAATGAGCAAGAAGAATATAAAAAAATATATGCAGACAAAAACGTCATTATTGGAAAATATTTGCACTTGGGTGTGAAGGAGAGGGAATACGTCGTTATATAACAATAATTTACTTATTGGTTGGAAGAACTGTTGCGAGCGAATTGCATTTGCTGAGCAATGACACCGTAACAAAATTAGCTGACACTCCCCGGGTTAATGTAATGACATTCCTATGGAGAGCTAATGTCTGTTCGTGTGCTTAGATACACGATACCAAGGAAATGACTCAGCGGATAGTATTTGAACTGGTCACGCGACGTTACATTCGATTTTAATTCTCGTCGCTTATAACGCTTTATCTGGCGTAAGTAACTTTCTGAAGCCGAATAGCTTAGGAGGAGCATCGTAGCCGCGTCCTTACCAAAAATCCGAGCTCCCCCGAATTGCGTTTTGGGGGGAGCAACGTATGTCGTTGCTACAATGTCTTCGAAACGACCGTTTCCGGTCCGGCGGTCTCGCACAGAGGCCATACTGTGCTAGAACCGGTCCGACCACGGGGGAAAATCATGAGAGCGGTCCTTCTTTTTTGTTACGAGCGGTCGAGGTCCGCTTGTGCGACCGAACGCTATGAGATCGAGGCAATTGAATTGACCTCGGCCGAACTAAGGCAAGCTAATCGGTGCGAACATCTATCCTCTATCGAGGTGCAGGTTTTCGAAGATTACAACGTGCTGTCCCGCGACGTTCTAGGAAAACTTTTTTATCATCACGATTGATGATTTTTTCATATCAAATGAGATATTTCGTATGTATATATGATAAAAATGAATTTACTTTGTACACAATGTTTTCTTATCATTTTATCAGTTTTCGAGTCTTTGAACTCTTACGGTTTAAATTCGGTTTAATTACAGTTATAAGATTAGAATACTAGGATTCTTTAAAATCATGATTTCTAGAATTTTACATCTTTTCCCTGTCTATATTTGTTTAATAATTATATATCGATGCTAGTATAATTTTATACAATTTATATAACCTGCGTAAGATATAAATATAAGAGTTAAATTCAAAATATGAAATTATTTGAATTTAATTCTATTTAAATTTATAATTATTTTCCAGTTTTTTTATTAATTGCATAATCTGTTATTTATTTGTTAACTACGTATATCAACATATATCCAGCGCAAAGCTGTCAAACTGTCGAGTCAGCTGCTTTGCCTTCGTCGACTAACCAATTATGAAATGCGATGCACATGGGCCTTGGATACGCCCAAATTGATGCAACTTTGTACATCAGGGCATTCGCGACGTCAAGTATTCCGCGCTCGAACAAATATCTTTATCCG